CCCAGCGTGAAGGCGGCCAAGCTCTGAGCACTGGGGCTGGGTGAACTGCTGACCCCCCAGCTGAGCCTTGACGGCACAGCTGTGTGTTGGGACAAGTTTGGGCAGGACTGTCAGCTGACCCTTTACACGATCTAACTGTTTTTGTATCCTCCCCTTATCTGTGAATGCTGGAATTGTTGCGCTAGACCCAAGGAGTTGTCTCCTGGCAGTCCCTAATTAAGGCTTGGGGGCAGGGGGGAAATAGGAGTTAGTTTTGACTCCCCACGTGATGGCACGAGCTCTCGAGTCCTGCTTGTGTCGAAATTGTCTGGTGGATGTGATGTGGGAGAGTGCTGGGTCTGTTGTCTTGGAAGCTCTAATACAGGCTGTTAAATAGCTCTAAGACAATATTTATGTATGTGAATGCAGGTAAATCTGGAGCCAGAACTCAGCACACACCAACAAGGGCTGGAGGGGATCGCTATATTCCCAACCGCAGTAATATGCAGATGGAGATAGCAAATTTCCTCCTAACCAAAGAGAATGACCCTTCCGAGAAATCCCCTACCAAGAAGGTAAGCATGTTGCTAAGTTACAATTACTTAAACAGCCATTATGAAAGACCTAATCCTTCCTGCCCGTTGACAAAAAAGTAAACTGTGGGTTGTATCAAGTGGGCACAGGAGGCTGACAAGCCCTAGCCATCACTGCTTTCAGCTCTGGGCTTAGAAGGAAGCTATAGAGCCTGCCACTCACTCTAGCTTGTGCTGCTTCTGGTAGCAAAATTCAACTTCAGGCTAACCAGGCTTTAAAATACAACACAAAGCTGTGAGCCTGTGCACAGTGAAACTGCTGGTGGTGGCTGTTCTGGGACAATGTCTACACAGGGAGCTATTCTGGAATGTTTTACACTGTGTTCTGAAATCTGTTTATGAAGCATTTGGTCCCTTGTGGCTGTGATTTTTCCCATTGGCAATGACACTGAACTTGGCACTGTATGAAAATGTGAGCAAGGACAGTGTGCCAGCATCTGAGGAAGAACTACTTTGACCTACCTGTGTAGCTGACTCGTGCAGCACAGTTGTACACCTCCTGGTTCTAGCAGAAAGGGGCTTATGTGTATGTTTTAACTGCAGCACGGGCTTTGTGTCTGAGATGCATCTCACTGAGGCTGGTCTGTCTCTGCAGGAGCAACAGAGAGCCTGGGCAGTGAATCTGAATGGCTTTGATGTAGAAGAGTCAAAGATTCTCCGCCTCACTGAGAATCCACAGAATGCTTCAGAAGGTATTATACAAGATCTATATGAGTAGAATCAGCTGGGGAGATCTGGTCAGGGGAACAGCAACACAGAGACCATGTGTGTGGGCACAGGGGAGACCAACTGGCTTCTATGCACATTGGAGTCTCTATTCTTAGGGTTCCTGAGGTTGAGGGGTGGCATTAGCAGTTGAAATGACTGTCAGCTGCTCATATGAAATGCAGGTGGCAAACCTTCCTGCAGTCTGCAAGAGCTTCAAACTCTGTTGTACACTTTCTAGCTTAACTGTTACTAAACATAATGTGATACAGAAAACCAAGTGTTTGATAAACTTGATCCCATGAATGTCTATTCTTAGGGTTCCTGAGGTTGAGGGGTGGCATTAGCAGTTGAAATGACTGTCAGCTGCTCATATGAAATGCAGGTGGCAAACCTTCCTGCAGTCTGCAAGAGCTTCAAACTCTGTTGTACACTTTCTAGCTTAACTGTTACTAAACATAATGTGATACAGAAAACCAAGTGTTTGATAAACTTGATCCCATGAATGGGGAGAGCTCACCCTTCAGTGCATGTTGCCAGTGATGTTAGCACACTGCACTCTTGTGAGTGTATGTCTTCTCTCAGGAATTCATTTGCACTGGAAGAGATTCCTAGTTAGGTGAGCAGGACTCAGCCGGGAGGAAGCTAACTCAGCCTGTGTTTCTCTGCACACAGGCTATCAGAATAAACTGAAAGTGCTCTACAGTCAGAAAACAACACCTGGATCCAGCAGGAAGAATGGCAGATACATTCCCTCAATGTCAGACCGGATCCTGGACGCACCAGAAATTCGCAATGACTACTGTAAGTAGGCTGCAGTGTTGAGTGCTGGGCATCAAGAGCATTCTGCAGTGGAGTGCAGTTTCTAGGACAGTGTAACTGGGCTGTTTTAATTATTTCTTGCACTCAGGCTAGTGCAGACCACTTTTGGAACATCCCTGTGTAGCTTTACAGGAACAGTGGTCCAGAGTGCTGTGTAGGTGACTTGGATCAGGGCTACCTGACCTCACTAGCTAGGCTTAGTGACACCCAGAAGGCTGCCCCTTACTGTATGTGTGTGCATGCACATGTGTACACACATGCACCCACACACCTGCTGCAGGTGGAAGACCTGGCATCACACTGGTGAAGGGCAGGGCTCTCCACGTAAGAGTGGTGTGTGACCTGCATTTCTCTTCCAAACTGTAGATCTGAATCTCATTGACTGGAGTTCTCAGAACTTCCTGGCAGTGGCTCTGGACAACACTGTCTATCTGTGGAATCACACCTCTGGGGAGATTATCCAGCTGCTGCAGATGGAGCATCCAGATGATTACGTTTCCTCTGTGTCATGGATTAAAGAAGGAAACTACCTTGCTGTTGGCACAAGTAATGCTGAGGTCCAGGTGAGTGCAGGAGTAAAACTAGAGGTGTTGTCTAGGGGTTAACAAAGCTGTGGGGCCTGAGGACAAAGGCTTGGCTAGCACAGGAAGAATGCAATGCACCCAATTTGTTCTGCCTGGTATAGGGTGGAACTGCCCACAGGCAACTGCAGCACATGAGAGAATTTGGTTTGGGGGTTTTCCAATACCTGAAGTTATCTTATGTACTATACATGAGATGCAATTTTTCTGCTTCCATATTGAGATGGCTGAATGCCAGAGCCTATTCCATAAGGTTCCTGTGGTATAGCAACAGGGCTGGGTTTCCTCATCCTCTGGAGAACTTTTTGCTTTCCCTCTCTAGCTGTGGGACATTCAGCAGCAGAAACGTCTCCGAAACATGACCAGCCATTCTGCCCGTGTGGGATCCCTCAGCTGGAACAGCTACATTCTCTCCAGGTAAAGCAGTGGGTGGGTGAAATGAGGCATTCAGCTGTTGCAGATTCCTGTCCTTACATCTCTGAGTGGTGAGGGTTAAGGAAGGCTGAGAGTAGTTTCTGTCCTGGCTTGGAATTCTGACTCAGCCTGTTTGTTCCGTTGGGACTTGTGGGGAAAAGGTCTCTCTTCTCTTGCCCTTTGTGCTGAAGTTGTGAAGAGCTTGTGTGGCTTCTTCACTCACACCAACAGATCAGTGATGCTGCTAACACTGGTTGAAACCCAGTGGCAGGTACGGCAGCCTTGCAACAACTCAAATAATGGATTTGGGCAAAAATACGTATCAGCCTGACCCTGTAACCCTTCTCTTCTCTCTGCAGTGGAGCACGGACTGGCCACATCCACCACCATGATGTCAGAGTGGCTAACCATCACACGGCCACACTCACTGGCCACACACAGGAGGTGTGTGGACTCAAGTGGTCCCTAGATGGGCGCTACCTGGCCAGTGGTGGCAATGACAATCTAGTGAATGTCTGGCCATGTACCCAGGGGGCCAATGGAAACTTTGCTCCTGTACACACCTTCAGTCAGCACCACGGTGCTGTCAAGGTGAGTACAAGGCTGCCATGGGCAGATGTCTGTGTGAGGCAGACATGCAGCACTGGCTCTGTGAAGGCTGCCTCTTGCATGTCTTACAATAAACTCTTCTCTTTCAGGCTCTGGCATGGTGTCCATGGCAAATGAATATTTTAGTCACTGGAGGTGGGACTAGTGACAGACATATCCGCATCTGGAACGTGTGTTCTGGCGCCTGCCTCAGTACTGTTGATGCTGGTTCCCAGGTGAGACATGAACATCAGCTTGGAGACAAACACCTTCTGGCAGCACACCTACACAGAGCTGCTGGCTCCTGAGGCCCCAGAGCATGGGAAGTGAGGGAACCATGCTCAGCTCTGGGCGGTGAGCATCAGCACAAGCAGCTTGTCTTACCTGTGTTACTGTCTCTTCTCAGGTCTGTTCTATCCTGTGGTCAACTAACTACAAGGAGTTCATTTCAGGCCATGGCTTTTCACAGAATCAGCTGATTCTATGGAAATATCCAACGCTGGCCAAAGTGACTGAGCTGCGAGGTAGGTGGGGCCCTTTGCCTGGAGCAGGAGGGGCTGTTAGAGGCAGCTCCAACTGCATCCCTGGAGTCTGAATTCATGCTGCCATGGCACAATGTAGGCACTGCAGAGGGACTGATGGGGGGGCATACAGGAGTGCCTGGAGTGACCAACCCAGCCCTAAACTGCACACCTTCCTCTCCTCAGGTCATACTGCCAGAATCTTGAACATGACTATGAGTCCTGATGGCACAACAGTGGCCTCAGCAGCTGCTGATGAAACGCTGCGGCTCTGGCGCTGTTTTGAGATGGACCCCATAAAGAAGAAGGAGAGAGAGAAGGCAAACAGTGCCAAGCGCAGCATTATTCACCAGAGCATCCGCTGAATGCATGAGGTTGTTGTGAGGGGAGGCGGATTGTTTGGTTTACGTGTTGTACAGTATTTTAAATGCTAATAAATTGCTTTACTTTGACTCTTTATGGAGTCTGATGGAAGAACAAGTCATAGCTCCCAGAAACAACCTTCTCCGCCCTGAAATCTGGGATCTGGGCAAGAGGTGGAGCCCTTGTTCTTTAGGACCAGGTTGCAGGCAGCATCTGCCTAAGCATAGCCCTGAAATCTTTGGGGGAAGCTGTAGTCTGAATGATTTTGTAGCCTTCCATCAAAACTGATTTTTCCCTTGCCCCGTAAGTAGAGTTAGGAAGAAATATCCCTGCTTGCCTCACATTCCACAGCACAGTGAACCACCGCTGAGCTGGCCCATGGCCTAGGGAAGGGCCATCTGCCCAGCTGCTAGCTAGATAGGGAAGGGACGAACAAGGTTCAACTGAACTCCAGTGTCTGTTGTGTTCTGTCTCAAGACCAGGTGGGCCTTACTCTGCAGGCAACTACCAGCAGTGGGCACCTGTTCCAGAAGTCTGGGGACTAGTTTTTGACAGTATGTGGCCTGCACACAGCAGTTTGGCTTGTTCTGCCACATGTAGCCAACAGTGCTTGCTTATGGTGCTAGAGTAGAATAGTTACTTTTCAGTGAGTTCAGCACTGAATTTAGAAGCCGATGGCTACTGGGGAAAAAAGGGGGGCAATATAGCCTGGAACCATACAGCAAGAGCTATAATCACCCCAAAGGCCAGAAAGGGGCTGGCAATGGCATAAAGCCTAATACAAAACAAAAGGTTAGTTTACATTGCCACAACTAGCCTGGATGTCATGCAAAAGACTCACAAAGCCCCACCAACTCTGTGCACAGCCCTTTGTCACATATTCTTCCAGCAACCCTGATCTCTGTCCTCCCCTCCTGCTGAGGGGAAGCCCTGGTGCCAAGCTGAGGCTCAGCTGCCATTTGTTACAGCTTGACTCCCCAGCACTTGGAAAAATGCATTTTTTCCAGGCTGAGTTATGCTGGTGCTTTACTTGAGTCCTTACCTGAGCCAGTGCAGCCATGCTGCTCTGTATGTTGGAGCCACAGTATCTGAGGTTGTAGGGCCGCATCAGACCAAAGAAGCCTGTCCTTCAGCTGCACCAGCACAGCCAGGGGGCTGCTGGGGACACCGCACAGCTGATTAGCACCTTGGTCTGTGCAAAACAGCTCCACAAAGCCTATGCCTTCCATCAGCCTGTGATTAGCCGAGGGTGGATTATTAACTGTTTTCACCTTCCTCCCAGCACAGTACCACACTGTACCTGGCACCAGCTCTGCCTCCTAAATCTAAGCCAGCTGGAGCCTTCAAAGGTGAGCAGTGGCAGCACAACTTGTGCTGTGCCAAGGCCAGCAAGGGTGCACCCCACACCCACTGCTGCTGGGGGGTACAGTCTCAAAAAAACCAGCATACAGCAGCTGAGCCCAGCACCCTTCCCGCAGGACTGCTGGTGCATCCCCACTCGGAAGGAAGAGGCAGGTGTCCATCTTCAGACACAAATCATAGGGCAGCAGCTATATCTAATGGGGAAGCAGGCAGAACCCAGATGCAAGGTTAGGCTCTTCCCCAGAGCTGTGCTGCTGTCATAGGAGCCCTGCCCCACACCTTCACAGTCTGATGCTGGGAGGTAGCACAGACTTGTCCTGTAGCCTCACAGCTGACTGAGCTGTCCCATGGTTCCTGAGCTGGAAGGAGGGCTTTATACGCCTGAAAGCTGCTGCAATTTTTTCACTCCCATGTAAGAGCAGCTCAGCTTTCTCAGACAGAGCCTGTATTGCCTTTTTTCCTTAGCACATACAAACCCCCAGAAGCTGTGCATTACACACCCTTTGAAGGTCCTCTGAGTGTTACTAGATAATAATGGTATTGCAGTGTCTTTGGCCCTACTGCCCTGGAGTGAGGAGGAACAGAGGAAGGATCTGGGCACTGATCCATCAGGCCCAGCAAATACAGCCCTATAAGGTGTGAATTCAGTTCACAGCATGACAGCATATTAATTACCAAGTGCCGTGGCCAGCCCATAGAAGAGCACAGCTAACAGGAACAACTGGAGGAAGGGAGAGCAGAGCACATGTAAGGAACAGCTCATTCTAAAATACCAAGCACAAGTAGTTTAAAGTATTGTTACTATTTTGGGCAAAAGAATAGCCCTGTCTTTACCAAGTGCCAGCTGGAGGGGAGAAAGTCTTGACAGGAAAAGGTCCGTCTCAGCTGGACCATCCCCTACAGCTACTGAAGTGACGACTTCCAAGCACTGAACTAATGTTATACACCACTTCAGCACAGACCAGAATAAGCTCTCATGCAAGTAACTCCTTGCTCACAGAGACACAGCAACAACTGGGAGAACACTACACAGTGCAGTTGCCAGATCCCATTTTATGGCTTCATACATACAAGGGCACTGAGCCCTGTAAAACAGGGCAATGCCCACGTGCAGTTTAGGCATATTGGTCCCACCACTTCAGGTCACTTGAAGAGGCTTCCCTATGTTTTAGGGCACAGCCTTGAGGTGTACAGCAGCCAAGGTAGGGATCCAGGGCTTTGGCAGGACATCTGCTAAAGCCCTCCCACCCCCAAACCAAGCCTACAGGGAAATGCAGCTTCTGGAGACTGCTGCTCTAACATTCCTGCCAGCCACAAGCTGCCCAGCTGCCTACCAACTCCTTTCCAGGCTTGAGTCAGCACACCCAGGCTGGCCTCTCTGCTCAGGAGGACCCCAATCACAGGGTGATGGGGAATGCAGCCCTGCACCCCAACAGCACTGAAAGGACACCAGAATAAGACAATAGTAGAGAACAGATCCCAGCCAGGCAGGTTGCACTTCTGCAGCAAGAGCAAGGCAGCAGCAACATAAACCTCCTTCTGATCCACTTGAGCTATATTCTGCACAGATCCACACTGTGGGGGAATTTACAGAGGGCAGCAGTTTCGGCTTCAACAGATGCAGAAAGTAAACTGCAGTTTTCCCATCACCTCAGTTTCCAGGGTCTCTTATTCCATGCTCTGCCATACCTCAGCTCCCCAGGATTTCTGAAAAGCAGCAGATCCTCCTGGGCAGGTGGCCCAGAACCCAGGCCGCACCCACGCTCCACCCCAGCCATTCTTTGACAGGGTGGAGTCACTTTCACAACAGAAGCCTTGACACATTTCCTGCCCAGAGCACTGCTCTATCGAAACACTTGGAAACAACCTGCCATCTGCTTCATCAGCGCACAGCTATCATCCTCTCCCCCCAACACACAAACCTGCTACACCAGCTGCTTCTTCCAGCCCTGCCTCCAACCACACTGGGTAGGACCAAGCATCTGGAACAGCTTCTGCGCACAGTGAGCCAGGAAAACAAGAGAACAGAGCCATTTCTCCTTCTGTCTGTTTATTTGTGATAGAAGAGCAGCCCAATCTGATAGGGCCTAGCTCCTTCACCTAATCCTCAAGGTCATCAGCATGTTTTGGTTACAGCCAGAGCAGGTGACGGGCACTAGGCGCAGAAGAGCTGTTGCACTGCCCTGCTATAGGGCAGAGCACACCTTCACCCAGGCCCAGTCAGATCCAGAGGCAAGAGGTGCTCACTGTTACACCACAGCAGAGCACCCTACAACCACCCTCTGCTATGCTCATACTAGGCCAGAGCAGGGCTGGTCCCAAGCAGGAAAGCCCAAAGAGCTGATTCTAGGGGCAATTATTGCTCAAGTCTTGAGTTTACAGGAATGGAAGTGGTCCAAGACTAGGCTGAGCTTGGTCTCCCCCACTCTGGAGCACGCCACCAGCTGCCATACAGGATCAGGTTAAGTGTGGCTAAAGCACACACCAAGCACCCAGCCCAGGTACAGAAAAGCAAGGCAACCTGGGCTTATAGTGTGGGGGAAGCCTTTCAGGCTGTCACAGCCCCTGCTATGCAATAGGCACAGGGCATGTGTACTGTACTGGGCAGGCCTGGGCCCTCACACCCCAGATGCACTGCCCCTACATTCTCCACAGCCACACCTGAGCACAGATGTGCCAGGGCAGGACTCCCCAGCTGGGCACACAGGGACCAGAAGGGACATGCAGCATTGTGGCATGGAACAAAAGTGGCACAAGGCATGGTAAAGCAGGAGCACTCACACTTCAGCTGGCAGTGACAAGCAGCCAGGGACAAATCTGTTCATCCACACAGGCTCTTGTGAAACAGGGAAGAGGAGAGGGCACCAAGACAGGAAGCGGTCTCTTCTTTTGGTCCTACTAATAAGGAAATGGCCCTCAGACACAAGGGCCAGATGTAGGCACTTGGGGGAAGTTCCTTTGGAAACACTGGAATGGGACTGCAGCCCCACAGCTGTGTTGCAGGCAGCTGCCCCTCTGCTCAGCAACACAGAGGTACAGCACAAACCCTCCCAGGAGCAGGAGAAGTGGCACATGGCTGCTCAGAGCAGAGGGGCTGGGCATGCAGACAGAGAACAGGAGGGCTGGGCACAGGGGTACAACAGTCTGTAGGCACTTGACTTGGCTAGTGGCACCCAGAAGCAGGGGGACAGGTCCCAGCTGCCTCTGCCCCGGGGCTCTCATTGGCTCTGGGAGCACTTTGCCCTCTAGTTGGCTTTGACCTTGCCGTTGGTGACAGTGCCGTTTTCATGGATGCTGCTACCATTGTGCTGGGCTGCTTGTTGAGCCACCCTGGGCAACCGTTTGCCCTTGGTATAGGACTGGTACCAAAAGTTGGAGAAGAGGATGAAGAAGATGGTCCCATAAATCCAGATGAGGTGGATGAAGATGGGGAACTGATACTGGCAGCTAGGCATGAAGTAATACTGGGAGATGTGGACGGAGACAATCACAAACTGTGCCTGGGAACAAGGCAGAGCAAGAACAAGTTATTCATGGGAGCAGGGTCAGGGATCCCATTACAGACCTCCTTTCCAAAGGAAACCCACAGGCTACTTTCCCACTCTGAAGCAGAGGTCCTTATGGTGAGGCACAGTCAGCAGCAGCTGGAAGAGGCAGGCACAAGGCTCAGGGCAGCATGTGCCTCCCACCCTTCCCAATACAACTGCAGCCTGTGGGCAGCAGG